CATAAAATAAGTAAGCTGACCAAAGTTCTTATGGAGAGAAGACTTTATTGAAGACAATCAATAGTGCAGTTCCTCAGCAGTGATGTTAACCCTGTCGGACTTCAAGTAACTTAACCCAAAGTACTGTCTGTGAGACAGTACTTTATATTAGCATCAAACAAACCATTCTGTTTACGAGGCTCAGCAGGACCCTCTTCAGATGTTTCAGCTGTTGTTTTGCTAATACCCATTGAGATTGTAAAAGGGTCATTTAGTTCACACCTATCAGTTTGTGGGGGTCGAGGCACAGGTCACCCCATCATATCACATCAGAGTTTAATCAATGTAAATGCAACTGAACTAAAATGCACATAATCTTTCAGCGGCTAAAAATTTTGCTTTAAACTGACACTGAAATAGAAATGTAAACATTGTACATTTTTATTTCACAAAGACACTGGACACCCAACAGTGCAGACACTGGCTTTCTTTTTTTTTAGCTTTAAGGTTGTCTATTGCGCAGTCTATTTAAGTTCCTTAAAATAGCAATGTGCCAGCAATGCACTGTAACACACCTCCTTATTGATGCCTTCTTACTTCAGAATACATGCTTTGAAGGCAACGTTTTCCCGCTTTTGGTCACAAAAAAATATTTTTGTTTGTTTTGACACAAACCGTAAGGAGACGCATGATTTTATAGTTTACAAAGTTAAAATGCAAAGAAATAAACAGTAATTTGATGTCCTGCTACATTTGTTATTCGTAATTTCATAGACACATAACCACAATTTATATCACTATAAAGATAATCGTGTTCATATAAACACTATTAATGAGGATTTTTCCCTCTAACCCCGGGTCTGAATGCAGACTCAGTGCAGCAGGTCTCTTGCCCTGTCTATTTTAACCATTATCCATGCTGGTAATTTATAGGATTTAGGCAAACACAACAGCACAGTGATGTGTCTAAATGTGAATGAACTCCTGATAAAAGACAAAGTCCGCCATTCTCCAATTCTCGTACTGCTCTCCCGACAAAAATGCTTGCTGCACACAAACAGTTTTGCTGTATCGGCCCTGACAGCATCGCGGGGTGAAAAACATGCAACAAACCCCGTGGATCATGGAAACAAACATATACGGCCCTTCATGAACAGCTAAATATTGTGTGCTGTGGGTCCGTGAATGCGGTCTCACTCACCTAGCGCCCTATTATACACCCGGCGCAATGTGGCGCAAGGGCGCAATAGTCTTTTGCTAGTTTCAGCTATGCTGTTTAAATAGCAAATGCATTAGCGCTCATATGTGTGCCCATAGGCATTCTGGTCTAAAAAGGAAGGCGTTCTGAGGCACACTGCTGGCACGTTGCTATTTTGAGAAACTATAATAGATTTTTCATTAGACCAAAACAAACCCGGTCTAAACTCCAGCGCAGAGTTGCGCCTCGCTTACACACTGCTTAATACGCACAAGAGAGCAATAGGCAAATATCTTTACATATGAAAAAATGTAAATATTAAGGATATATATAGGATATAATAAGAATAGATATAGGATATAAATATAAAGGATTAAAATATTACAAAACATATTATTTTCTAGCCTACATAAATATGAAAAACCACTGCTTTTATGTCTTCTTCATCTCGGGAGGCTTTTTCAGTTCATTCATAACAATTTGCTTTTGTATAATGTTATTATTATTAGCAGTATTATTTATTATATCCATATTTATATTTGTTTTATTAAAAACAAGCTTAGATTTGCCCACCTGTCAGGTTTTAGACCATATGGGGCACAGCATGTGTTTTAGGATATAACTCAGGTTTTTGAGCACACTTCGTTATTATTGTTCATTTATTCGTTTGCTGGAAATTAGAACTGAATTTAGAAATAGTTTTGAAACGGATATTTGCGCTTAACAAATGCAATTAATTATTTATAGACTAATTGATGTCTGTGCGTAAAGGTTTCCCTATCCAAGAGCGAAAGTGAAAGTAGATCCATTATCTCTCATTCTCACGCAGTAGATGCTCTTCTTAACAGTTTTCTGTAAAAAAAACTGTTAACTGTAAAATGTTTGCTAGTGAAATGCTCAGTTTTTCCACTTAGACTTACTTCACGTCCTGTAAATAGCGAATGCGCTTATGGCGCGACGCAGCTGGCTCTTAAAGGGAACGGGAGATGAGACTCTGATTGGTTTATTCTCAAAACACACCTATAACTCATTAAGAAAATAAACTCAACCCTTTTAGATCATGCGCCACGGCGCAGTGTATTTTCCTGTCCTTAAATTAGCAAAAATGTGTTCTGACACGCCCTGAAAGTGTTTGCACCCTGCGTTTTGCACTCTGCATGGACTGTCAAAATAGATCCCTTAGTCATCAACATAGGGTCTCACAGCTTGTCACTGGCAGGTCTGTCTTGCCTTCGGAAAGCATGTGCAGTCATGAATAATTAAGAAGCAGGCTCTTCTCATAGGATAAGAAAACTCCGCTATGAATAATAATGAGAAACCGATGCGTCATCTTTGAACTTGCAGTTTTGCACTGTCACCGATTTTGATCCTGCCCCAAAAATCATTTTAAACCCGAAAGCTAAAATTAGCTGACAAAAGCTCAAAATTATCCAGTTTTTCCCACAATTATAGCTGACCAGTGCTAACATTGTCTTAACTGAACATACACAAATCTGTTAAAATCTCAAAAAAGTACTCAAATGTTTTGTGAACCTTTAAGATGTTCCAAAGCTGAAAAATTGGTTGTTAAATAATGCTACAATCCACTAAACACAAAATTCACTCTTGTCAAATAGACATCAAAGCCTTTGTGATTAACCTGACTAAGGTCTGTTAGTTGGCAATTTTTGTGTGGAGTTTGCATGTTCTCCCCTTGATGGCATGGGTTTCCTCCAGGTGCTCCGGTTTCCCCCACAGGTCAAATACATTTCGTCACCGTTCTTTCTGACATTTTTGTCAAAATTGAGTTAGTTTGAGTTGAGTTGACATATGAGTTGAGTTGACATATTTTTATTAATTGACAACTTATTTACATTATAGGACGTTTTCTTTTTTTTTTTTTTTTGTAAGTCATTTACATATTAAGACTTTTTATTTAAAAAACAAATCTTACACACATACTGTTTGCTATAGAATGCAAAAACTTTGAAGCTCAATATCTCCAAATCATTCAGATAGCAGATAGAACCTTGTAATTCCAAGGTGACGATGAGCTATAGGTGAATTGAATAAACTAAATTGGCTGTGGTTTGTGTGTGTGAATGTGAGTGTATGAGTGTTCCCCAGTACTGGGTTGCAGCTGGAAGGGCATTCGTTGTGTAAAACATATGCTGGATAAGTTGGCGGTTCATTCTGCTGTGGCAACCCCTGATGAATAAAAGGACTAAGCTTAAAAAAATATGAAAACATAATAAATATGAGTAATATAATCAGACTGTCATGAGTCAGTTCTGTTTTGGACACTAGAGGTCAGACTATGAACAGTACTGTAAGGTCTCTACAGAGTTATATTTCACACAGTGTACATTTGTAAGTAATTAGGATATACAAACATTTACAAAAGACATCACATGTCAGGTCAGGTCTTTTTTTGTTGTTGTTGCTTCTGGAGAAATGCACCAAATGTAAAACCTGCTGTCCCACTGAAGCATGGCAGCACTTTGTTCCAAACACAGATGCAAAAATTTCAATAGCTTTATTCACATTTTTTGATTTGTTTGCCATTGTTTATAGATTGTATAGAAAAAAAGAAGCATTGTATTTAATAATTAAAGAAGAATAGACTGTGGATTTGAAAGCTTAAAATCAGAATTTAAAATATAAATATACTCTCCATATATATATATATATATATATATATATATATATATATATATATATATATATATATGTGTGTGTGTGTGTGTGTGTGTGTGTGTGTGTGTGTGTGTGTGTGTGTGTGTGTGTGTGTGTAAAATATATACATAGCCTCTCCATTAATGTACAGTGGGTTTGTACTGTACGTTAAAGGTCTGTCCATTATGATAGGTATAGTGGATTCTTACAATGTGCAGTCAAAGTTAGAATTTTACATTGTTCAAGTTTGTATCTTGAGAAGAAACTTCAAGTAAATTTCAACCATTAGTGCTGTTGTTATTTTCAAAATCACAGTGGTATATTGTTTTTGCAATACAGCTGTATTTTGACCAGATGTCCATTGAAATGAACAATTTAAAATATATTAACTCAAGAATATTGACATTTTTATTTGATCTTATTTAGGGAAGCTTTAAGAACAGAGGGTATTTTACTTTTTTTTTCATTTTTCTCATATTGAAACATATTTCAGTTCTAAAAGCATTAATTTTTATATTGTGCATGTAATATCTGATATTACATATTTTAACAATTAAAACCTGAATGAACTTAACGCTTTTATTCAACAGATTCAAGTTAAATGTTTTGTTGTTTTTAAATGCAATGTAACATACAAATAGGCAATATAAGCATGCATTATTTTAAGGGTTTTAAAAATAATCATCATAAGAAAAATGTGTAAATATGCACATTTGATATTTACACCACAGAAGTTATGTCATTAATGGCAATTTACAAATGTGAAAGTTAGGTTTCCAATGTTTACGCATGTTTTCGTCTGTCCTTATACAAAACATCTGTTTATTTTCAGTTTAACTGCACGGTACAAATATTCAACTTTTGTTTCTAATTGTAAAACATACTAATGTTTCTGTGAGTATTACCTCTAGGGGTAGTTTTAGATTTAGTGGATGGGAAATATTTTAGGTAAAAAAAAAAAGTCTATTGCAAGTCCCCATAAAGATGTAGAAAAGTGTGTGAGTGTCTGTGTGTTTGTGTGTGTGCGCGCATGTGCAAAGATGCCTATGATGCTTGACAATGTAGGCAGCTCATTGAGTTTTGATGCGGCTCCACCATGTGCTTGACGCTGTGTTAGTGATGGGTGGAGAAAGGACTGCTTGCTGTCCAGTTGGATCAGTGTGGAGAAGAGTGTGTTGTGTTTGTACAGCTGAGAGCGGAGGGCATCGACACTACACAGAGGTATGTCAAAATACATCATTAATTACTCTTTCTTATCTAATAGTCTGTCCAGTTCAGGTTTCTTTCTCATTACTCACTTTCCAAAAAAAGGACTATTATATGATATTTTAAATCATTTTGAGAGTCAGTAAATGATTGTTTGAAACAAATAGTTTTAAAATATCTACTATTATCTTTTCATTGTATTTTATACTGTTGAAACCAATAATTACTTTACTTTATCCTTGGGTAATAATATTAGCCTCTTAAAATTAATAAATAATTATTATTATGGCTGGGGCTGTGTTTGCTGAAAGACAATTATTCTTTACTATAAAACAATTATTCACTGGTTTCTTAAAACCTACAAATAATTCTGCAAATATAAAAAAAAATGCAACACACTGAGCTAAACAACAAAGATAAACAGATTTTATTGTGTAAAGCTTCCTAAAATCATATTTATTCAAAATTCTGAAAAAAAAAATATTTGAATTTATTTGAAATTATTGAAACTTTAAAGACAAAACATTTTTTATTATTAGTCCGAATATCAAACTCTCAGAAGGAAAATGTCCTTACTTTGAAGAAAAAAAAAGGCAGTGGCGCAGTACTGTCGCCTCACAGCAAGAAGGTCGCTGGCTCAGTTGGCGTTTCTGTGTGGAGTTAACATGTTCTCCCTGCCTTTGCGTGGGTTTCCTCCGGGTGCTCCGGTTTCCCCTACAGTCCAAAGACATGCGGTACAGGTGAATTGGGTAGACTAAATTGTCTGTAGTGTATGAATGTGTGTGTGGATGTTTCCCAGAGATGGGTTGCGGCTGGAAGGGCATCCACTGCATAAAAACTTGCTGGATAAGTTGGCGGCTCATTCCGCTGTGGTGACCCTGGATTAATAAAGGGACTAAGCCGACAAGAAAATGAATGAATGAATAAAACACATTAGACCTTACAATAAACTGTGATTTCTTGTATCATTGAAATGTTTAAAGATCTGAAATTTATTTCTACACCAATTTTTATGTATCAAATCCATGTAACCATATATTGAAGAGCTCCTATTATTATAAAAGGTCATATATTGGTCTTGTGGGTCTCCATTAACAGGCTAATACGCATGCAAGGTCAAGAAAAACTTTCAACTTATAATATACATTTATGTTTACCTAATTATCTCAATGACTCCCATATGATTCCATACGGGAATCCCATATGATATACTATACTGTGGCAATACTGTGGCATTGTTGTTAAATTAACTTTAACCATTTATTCCACACATAAATGGGAATTCCATCCCCTAGTATTAAGGGTAGGGTGAGCTCAAGTTTTCACAGATCTGGCACCTCATATATCGCAATGTTTTGTATCATCTAATCGACTCTAAGTCAACTATGTGTGTATATATATTGTGTATATATGTGTGTTTATATATATATATACAGTAGGGAAAATAAGGATTGAACACGTCATTTGTTTTTTTTTTTTTGACATGGAATTGAACCAGATTTAGGTAAAAACCCAAACAATACAAACTTGAAAATATAACATTCTGTACAATATGTTGTGTGTAATAACAATGAAATGACACAAGGAAAGCGTAATGAACTACTGAACCATATTTAATACTTTATGTAAAGGCTTTTTTGGTGATGGCAGCTCAGTCGCCACTCAGATGGAGAATGAAGTATCATGAATTGCTCAAATATAATTTTTTAACAGAGTAAACATCTTGATGGTCAGTGGGTCTTGTCTATCAAATCTGATCTTGAATTTGTATTTTATATTGGATTCAAGTTAGGTGATTGGCTGACCCATTGTACAGCTTAAGGTTTCCTTGACTGTTCTGGATCATTGTCTTGCTGAAATGTCCACCCTGGTTTCATCTGCATCATCCTGCTAATGTAGATGTTGGACTGAAACTGCTAATTTTAATTTACTTTGAGAAAGAGGGTGATGAACTACTAAGTGATTTCAGCTGCTGTCTGGGCTTTCACTGCCTTTTTACACCTTCCTTTCTTCATGTGTTCAATACTTTTTCCCTGTGTCATTTCATTTTATTCATAACTTCATTTGTAAACTAATTAGATTTGTTTTTTTGCATATATGGATTTGTTTAGTTGTTACCAGCATCTAGGGAAAATGTCAAGTCAACGACACCTTTAGAAATGTTTTGTGAGAAAAATGGTGATGTATTCAATACTTATTTTCCTTGCTGTTCCTATTTTCCTGTATTTTCTTTATGTGTCTTCTTTCTATAATATGCTTACAGATGGCAGCCCTTCAGTAAGATGTTGGAAAAGACCCCAACTGATAAAAATCATCACCTTCACATTCATCCCGCATTCAAACTCTCCTGGACTGTTAAATGCCCTCTCAATACAAAGGGTACAGATTATTTCAAAACAGAAAGTATTCCTGATTTCTAACTAAATTTTATTTATTACCTGCTATAGGAGAAAATACATTATGTCCTTCTATTTCCGCTAGGCTAAAATGTTTGTGGTCTCCATGCCAAGATGTCTACAGATTTGTGTGTCTTTGGTAATGGTGTCCCGACTACAAGGTGCGCGGTGTGCAGAAGTCTCATTGTCCTTTAAGTGTTTATCAGACATGGTCTCAGTATTGGTGTGTTTCAGGCAGGGTTTCAGCTCCAGCACGCCTGGAGGCTCTTGTTGAACAGCCCTTCACGCTGAGCTGTACGCTTGTCAAGGCTAGAGGAGAATCAGTGCATCAGATCCGCTGGCTGGATGTGCAGAATCAGACATTAATCTCCTATCAGCCTGGTCAACAAGACAGCGTGAGCGGTCAACAGCATGTGGAGCTCGCTGCTTCTCCAAGAGACGCCAGCGCTATCACTATTAAACGTGTAAGCCATAGGGACGAGGGATGTTACACTTGCATCTTCGATATTCTTCCTAAAGGCTCAAGGGAAGGGCAGACTTGTCTTACAGTTACAGGTAAGTTTTAAAAGATCTTTAAGAAGCAACTACAGTGGAGATTGAAATAAAACATGCTTCAATTTCTTTGAGATCATTGCGTAGTCATATTTAAAGTTATGCAAACAGTAATAATAAAGCTGTTTTATTGCATATTGAAGTTAAAATTATTAGCCCCCATGTTTATTTTTTTTCCCCCAATTTCTGTTTAACAGAGATATTTCTTCAACACATTTCTAAACAAATAGTTTTAATAACTCACTTCTATTAACTGATTTATTTTATCTTTGCTATGATGACAGTAAATAATATTTGACTAGATATTTTTCAAGACACTTCTATACAGCTTAATGTGACATTTAAAGACTTAACTAGGTTAATTAGTTTAACTAGGCAGGTTAGGTTAGGCAAGTTATTGTATAATGATGGTTTGTTCTGTAGTCAATCGAAAATAATGTAGCTTAAAGGGGCTAATAATTTTGACAATAAAAACTGCTTTTATTCTAGCCGAATTCAAAACAAATAAGACTTTCTCCAGAAGAAAAATATGATCAGACATACTGTAAAAATGTCCTTGCTCTGTTAAACATTATTTGGGAAATATTTAAAAAAAGAAAACAAAAAAAATTCAAAGTATGGTTAATAATTCTGACTTCAGCTATATGTTCTCTGTCTAACTGAAAAAAAGACTGAACACAAAGAGTAAAAAGTTAAAAAAGTGAAAGAAAGGTAATGTTTTCTGTAGTTTGGTCTCTTATAAAACTTCATGGCAAAGTGAGTGGAAATGTTAATCAGAAGCTCCTTTAGCACAATTTGCTTCCTTCCCTGCATTCATCTCTCAATCAGCCAGTAATTTTATGCAGGACAATGAGCCCTGCCACACAGAATAACAGATAAAGCAGCTCAATTGTGAATTAATGAAATGGCCAGCCCAAGGTCCTGATCTAAACCTGATTGTAAATATCTGTAAAATCCATGGCAACTAAGTTATAGCTGTGAAACCACTACAGTCATTGAACTGAAGAGAGTGAAGAAAATTAAGATCCCAGCAGAGCAGTATGCTTATCTGTAAATAAAAATAAATAAATAAATAAATCTGTTGTTTTACAGATTTTTTTTTTCCAGCAGCTGGGGTGCCAGAAAAAAAAAAGTTAAATAACCGTCGTTAAACTACAGACATTTACTGTAAAATTACTGATGTTAAATTACTGACATTTCCTTACATTTTTTTTATTTCCGTGAAATTTCTGTAATTTATCGTCTGTTATTTTATGGTAAATTTCTGTTATTTACCGTCTGTTATTTTATGGTAAATTTCTGTAATTTACAGTCTGTTATTTTATGGTAAATTTCTGTTATTTACCGTCTGTTATTTTATGGTAAATTTCTGTAATTTACAGTCTGTTATTTTATGGTAAATATTGTAATTTACCTTTTGTTATTTTATGGTAAAGTTCTGTAATTTATCGTCTGTTATTTTACGAAAAATTTCTGTAATTTACCGTCTGTTATTTTATGTTTTTTTTTTCTGGCACCCCAGCTGCCTGTAAAAACACAAAAATATTAAAATAAAATAAAAGATTTTGTTTACAGTGAAGTTTGTTCCAAACTTTTGCATTGAAGACTATTGGTAAAAGTTCTACAGTGTATTTTACTCCTCTTGCCTCAAGGTGGATTAGCATGATTCTAGACTTGTGTGTTGGTATGCCTGCCTCCTTGTCTGAAACACTGGTTCACACTCCCCTCTGATCAGTTACTATTCATAATGTTATTAACTACAGTATAAGTACTTCCAAACCAATATGAGTGTCTTCCTTCTATTGAAAACTAACAAACAAATAAGATTGTATGAAGAATTTGTGGAAGAGCATGTTGCTGGTCCACCTTGTGGTTTTGGATATTGTGTTGTGGACACTGCAATGTTCATGAAAGTGAGAAACAGCAGAATAATGAATATCAAATATCTCAATATAAATTGAGAATCAAATATGTCAATATTTCATGAATTCACTACCCCTTTACTGTTTCTTAGATGAATGTGAATGTTGCTGTATTGTTACAGTAACTTATTTTCAATGTTTTACAGCAACTGTGATTCCAGAGGGCAATAAGACTGCAGTGGGTGGAAAACAAATCACTCTGGCCTGTCGGTACGGCCTGCCAGAGAAAGTCAAACAGGTTTTGTGGAAGAAGATTGTGACTAAAGCAGAATCCCGTGAAATTGCGTTTTTTGCAAAGCAGAGTGATCCTGTGATAGAAGAAGAGTTTGTGGAGCGTGTGAGTCTGAGTCCTTCCCTGTCTGACACACAGCTCACGCTGTGGCCAGTCCAATCCGAAGATGAGGCCTGCTACACCTGTGAGTTTCACACATACCCGGATGTCATAAAGAGCGCCACCAGCTGCCTTACTGTGTTTGGTAAGTCTCAAAATGTTTGACCACTTTTATTATCAAATATAATCATTAACTGAGTTAAACAACTCACTGGTTTATATGACCCATTCAAAGTAAGTCTCCAGTGAACAACTCATTGATTCAAATGATTTGTTCAGAGTGAGTTTCCAGTAAACAACTCACTAATTAGAATGATCTGTTCAGAGTAAGTATCTGGTAAACAACTCACTGATTCAAATGATCTGTTCAAATGCACGTACCTTCGATCATTCGATTTTGACAGAGAGATTGAATCGGCTTCATAGGTCCACTCCAGCACCCCAGCACCTGTATGTTCCAGGATACAATGTGATTGTAACATCCAAACAGTGTAGTTCCCAAATGCTCAAGGGTTTAGGGCATTCTATTTTAACCCTTTCAGATGTTATGCCAGTAGTTGGCACTTGTGTGAGGTAATCAAAGACAAACATCCGAGGGAATGAGATGGAGGGAGGTTAGCGAAGGCATACAACATTGCACTGGAATGCAGCCTTAAATTGCATCAAACAATGTCACACTGTACACTATGCACTCATGCACTATGTACTTATGCACTTACACACTAAGGGCTCTATTTTGATGGTTCATGTGCAAAACGGAAAGCGCAAGGCGCAAACGCATTCAGGGCGTGTCAGAATTCATATTTGCTAATTAAGGACGGGAAAATCCGCTTTGCGTTGTGGCGTATGATCTAAAAGGGTTGAGTTAATTTTCTTAATGAGTTATAGGTGTGTTTTGAGAATAAACCAATCAGCCTCTCATCTCCCATTCGCTTTAAGAGCCAGCTGCGTCGCACCATAAGCGCATTTGCTATTTACATGACGTAAAGTAAGTGGAAGTGGAAAAACTGAGTATTTCACAAGCAAACAGTAAAAAGTTAACAGTTTTTTTAAACAGAAGACAGTTAAACAGAGCATCTACCATGCAAGAATGAGAGATAAATTATCTACTTTCACTTTCGCTCTCGTGGATAGGGAAACCTTTACGCACAGACATCAATTACCCTGTAAATAATTAATTTCGTTTGTGCAAATATTTGTTTCAAAACTATTTCTAAATTCAGTTCTAATTTCCAGCAAACTAATAAATGAACAATAATAACGAAGTGTGTTTAAAAACGTTCGAGGTTACTAAAGTAACCCTTCGTTCCCCGAGGAGGGGAACGGAAGCACTATAAGTGGATTTGATTTGTAAAATCCACGCATAGGGAGGTTCGGTTCAGAAGCTACTCGTCTGAAAGAGTATTGAACGGGCCAATTAAGAATGAATTGGCAGCGCAAGCCTGCGCAGGTGAGCGGCATAAGCAATCAACTGAGTATATAAGCTCACCTGGCGCCAGCAGACGCTATCCTTTTTAAGCTGAAGAGACTTTCAACAGCTAAGGGACAGTCATTATGGCGACGGAGTATAGTGCTTCCGTTCCCCTCCTCGGGGAACGAAGGGTTACTTTAGTAACCTCGAACGTTCCCCTTCGGGGGGAACTTCAGCACTATAAGTGGATTTGATTTGTAAAATCCACGCATTGGGAGCCCATTGAAAGCGCCATAATGACTGCACCTTACCAACACCCCCGATGAGGAGATAGTCAAGCAAGCGTGACGCACCCGCATCATGGGGGGCGCGGTCCTCCAACGTGTCCCTGGCCCTAATTTATCCTACTTCAACAGAAGTTTTACGGATTTAGATATATTCTTTGGGAAGTCGTGAGCATCTAGATAATTCTAGGAATACACAACAGTACGTTGGGAAGCGTGCAATCCCGATAGGGAGGACGCTGCGGAGGCCATCCGTTACCCAAGGGGGGATAGATGGCAGAATTTACATATGGACTAGCCCTAAAAAGGGGGAGTACGCATAGCAAAAGAGTGGTTAGCGGGGAGGGAAGACACGAGTCCGCCCAGGGGGGGGACTTAACCGTGGCGGAATAAGCATATGGGATCGCCTAGTGGGGATCACGCATAGCAGGCACCTTTACCCAAAACGCGGGCTGACCAGCGGGCAGACCTACAACGTAGTGGGCCAGCAAGTGACTCCTCCGCTGAGTCAGTGCTGGGGGCCACGGAGGAATCTGCAGGGCTCACCTGACGGGGAACTTTACTGACAGATAAAAAGGCGCACGTATCTCCGTGTTAGGGAAAATGGCGCAGCAAGCGTGTTTCAACACCCTACCGAATTGTTTCCTCAATCACCAAGGGTTACCTAATACCCTTGAGGAAACCGGCTCCACTCGCAGATTGTAAAACCTTGCAAATGTGTTGGGTGTCACCCAGCCCGCAGCTCTACAGAAGTCTGTTAGAGGGGCGCCGCGTGCGCGCGCTCGAGAGGATGCGAAACTCCGAGTGGAGTGCGCACGCGCTCTCGGGGGACGCGGCTTATCTCGGCTCTGATAGTGAAAGAAAGGCATCCACAATCTAGTGGGAACTTATTTCGGTACGGCACTTCCCTGCTGCCGACCGTTATAACAGACGAAGAGCTGCTCAGATGATCTAAACTCTGAGTGCGGTCCGGATAATACGCAAAACGCGAACTGGACAATAAAGAAGGGCTGGGTCTGCCTCCTCCGAGGGCAGCGCTTGCAGGCTCACTACCTCGTATTAAAACGGAGTGGTAGGAACCTTGGGCACATATCGCGGGCGGGGTCTCAGGACGTGAGAGAAGCCAGCCCAATTACAGGCACGAGTCACTGACCGAAAAATGCCTCCGGGTCCCCGACCCTCTAATCGATATCAACGCGACCAGCAGAGCTGTCTTCAGGGACAGAAAGATACTGAGTCGAGGATCGAAGGGATCTGACGCGGCTTGTGTAGCGAGGGCGAGATCCTAAGAGGGCATGAGAGGGGGCGGGATGGATTAATTCGCTTAACGCCCCTGAGGAACCGGATGATGAGGTTATGCGTTCCCACGGTGCTGCCAGCCACCGCGTTATGAGAGCGGAGATGGCAGCCACGTAACCTTGAGTGTGGAGGGCGACAGCCTGCTCTCCAGCTTCTCTCGGCGTAAAGAAAGCACAACGCTGATCTGGCAAATTACGGGGGTCTTCTCAGCGAGAGACACACCATTCAGTGAATAGACTCCACGTCAGGGCATAGGCGCGCTCGGGGAGGGGGCACTAGCCCGAGTGACGGTATTAGCCACCGCAATCGGAGGTTACCTAAGTCTTCCTCGCGTCTAAAATCTCTTCAAAGATCGGCGAGGGTGCCAGGTGGTGCCCTGTCCCTGAGAGAGTAGGTGCTCTCTCGAAGGGACTGCCAGGGGAGGGCTATCGCGAGGGAGAGCTCTGACATCCAGGTCCGGTTGAGCCAGAGGGGCGCAACCAGCAACCTGTTCCTCGTCCTCTTCCTGACCTTGCACAGTAACTGCGCGAGCAGGCTCACTGGGGGAAACGCGTATTTGCGCGTGCCCCGAGGCCAGCTGTAAGCCAGTGCATCCGTGCCGAGAGCACTCGGTCAGGGAAAGAACAACTAGCAATGAGCGATCTCGGGGGAAGCAACAGATCGATCTGGGCTTCCCCGAATCGCGCCCATATCAGCTGAACAGACTCGGGGTGGAGTCTCCATTCTCCAGGACGCAAGGCTGCCGTGAGAGCGCATCGGCTGCACGGTTGAGCTTGCCTTAATATGAATGGTGTGCAGCGATTTCAGCCGCGGATGACTCCAGAGGAGCAGACGGCGGGCGAGCTGAGACATGCGGCGAGAGCGCATACCCTCTATACGGCTGATATACGCCACCGCCGCCGTACTGTCCGTCCTGACCAGCACGTGTTGCCGCTCCAGCACCGGAAAAAAACGGTGGAGAGCGAGGAACAGCTCCAGGCGATATGCCAATGCAACTGGGTACCTTTCCACAGGTCCGCAGCCGCATGCCCGCAACGCACAGCCCCCCAGCCCGTGTTGGAAGTGTCTGCTGAAACGACAACAAGACTGGACGCCTGTTCTAGAGACACCCAGGCCTGTAGGAACGAGGGGTCGCTCCAAGGGCTGAGGGCGCGGCGACACAGCGCAGTAACAGAGACTCGGTGTGCGCGCGCGTGCCATGCGCGTCTGGGGACTCGATCGTGAAGCCAGTGCTGAAGTGGTCTCATATAGAATAATCCGAGCGGCATGAAGCGGCTGCGGATGCCATATGCCCCAGGAGCCTCTGAAATAGTTTCAGTGGGACCACTATTTTACTGTCGAGCTCTCTCAGACAGTACAGCATCAGCTGAGCGCGCTCTCCGTAGAGGCGCGCTGCCATGGTGACCGAGTCCAGCTCCAGCCCGAGAGAAGAGATCCTCTGCACGGGGGCGAGTTTGCTCTTTTCTCGGTTGACCTGAAACCCCCACAGGTGGAAGTGCCAGAGCACTGTGTCTCTGTGCATAATCAACTGCTCCGAGAGAGGGCAAAAATCAGCCAGTCGTAAAGAAATTGAGTATGCAGATGCCCGCGAGCCGAAGGGGCGCTGAGGCACCCTCCGCGGGCTTGGTGAGGACCCGCGGAGACAGAGAGAGCCCGAAGGGGAGGGCTTTGTATTGCCAAGCTCGACCTTCAAACGCAAACCGCAGAACTGTCGGTGGCGAGGAAGAGTGGAGACATGGAAATACGCGTCCATCAGGTCTAATGCTGCAGACCAACCCAGAGGACGAACGCACCGGAGGATGCGCTTCTGCGTGAGCATTCTGAACGGCAGCTTGTGCAGGCAGCGGTTCAAAACGCGCAGATCTAGGATTGGCCGTGACCCACCGCTCTTTTTGGGCACGATGAAGCGTGGGCTGTAAAACCCACTCTCCATCTCGGCTGGAGGGAGCGGCTCGATTGCATCCTTCGCCAGGAGGACAGCAATCTCCTCTCGCAAGACAGGGGCGGACAGGGGGCTGACCCTGGTGAATACACACCCGTGACTTGGGGGGCCGTTTCGCGAACTGAATCGCATAGCCGAGTCTGATTGTGCGTATGAGCCACCGCGAAGAGCTGGCCCGCGCTAACCAGGCAGGCAGAGCTCTCGCTAAT